AGTCGCTTAACCAACTGAGCCACCCAGGTGCCCCAGAAATGCTAGTTCTTGATACAAAAGGGCCACGCAGAATTATGGCAGAAGCAAAAACAATAGTCCACGAATCCATTGCTTCAAACTGGAGAGTTTCATCAGAGATCCAAGCACAAAAGAACAATCTTCTAGAGCTCTGTGATGGCTCATTGGTCAGACCAGGCTGTAACCAAAACGCCTCTGTTACTCATCTGTCTTCCTTATTTTAAAACTGAAGACTTTAACCCAGCTAAAATTATATCTTTCCTGCTTGTTGATCTTTTAATAATATACACAAGTGGCCGAAGATTTATCAGAAGAGATTGCTAAAGTAATTTCGGGCAGCTTCTTTTAAGAAATGCATTTCCACACCGTACACATTTGTCATTGTGTTTTTTGATAGAGTTAAGTATTTAAATTATATTTAAAAATCAAGACTACATTTGTCAAACTAGATATCTGAAAAAACTAGGTGCCTCAAGCTGAAAATGTCTTTGAATTCACACTAAGCTCCTCTTTGACTTAACTTCCAAATTAATTAAATCAAAAAGACATGAACTAGGCCAAAAGAAAAAAAAGTCAGGAGGCCAAGTTCAAATATTGCCTAGAATGCTTCATTGGTCTTGCCTTAATTTGCTTTTAGATGGTACCATTTTAGAATTGGAAAGGCTAAATTTATGCAAAAAGAGTATCAAGTTCATGCAGCAAATTGGAAGAGTTAATGAGTACTTTAACCTTCCTTTTCATTGAGGCAATGTTAAAAAAATTCTCTCAAGGTGAAGCAAGATTCAAATAAGCAGTAGATGAACTTGGCAACCATTGAACAAATATTTGAGCATCCCTCGCACAAAAGACACTGGGTGATAGGTGCAAACCCCAGACTACCGAGAGGTTGGCAGCTCCATGGCCTAAGACAAACTAGAATCAGTCTACCCATAAGATGCAAGACTTCCAAGCTGACAAAGGAAAGGTAAAGGCTGTTAACCACCTTTACCTTGGCCACTGCCTTGATTTGGCTACAGAATAACTGTTGTATATCCAACTGATTGCATTATTCAGAGATGATGTCTCCAAATCTACACTCTCCAACATAGTAGCCGGTAGTCATCTATGGCTATTGAGTATTTAAAATGTGGGTAGTGCGACTTAAGGAAGTCAAGTTTTGATTTTACTTATTAATTTGATTTTAATAATATGGAGTTGATAGCAGGATTAATGAATTTACTTAACTTGGACAAATGTAATTTTGAAACAGATGCTTTTGTTTCAAAGCCAAATCAATTCTTCCAATAAAAATGAACCAAGTCTGTCAATGTGGGTGCAACTATAAAGGAAAATGATTATTTGGTATCCAATTTAGTTATTGGGAAACTTTCAAATCTGGCTAGAACAACTTACATATGTGAGCCTAACTTTTTCAACTGGAAATTTTATGAAATCTAAATATAAATCAGGTATTTCCAATGAAAATTTAACATCTAGATAAAGATGTGTCTGCCCCAATGCCACTCTACTATAGAAATGTTCTCATCCTCATGTCCTGGAGGGAGGTTCATGGGAAGTTCACCCTCTGAAAGTCTGTTGGTGAATTTCTCTGACGAGGTAGCTACACCCCACATAGGAAGCTCTGGGAAATGCAGAAGTTTGCAGGTCCTTGGTAAGATTCTTGAGAGGCCCTGACCATAGGGCAGCCTGTCTTCCTTTTTAGGCAAGCCTCAGTCTTCAGATGTGGGATGTGTGGTGACAGCACTGGCCAGTGGTATTTATCTGACCAAGGAAGGAATCCTGGAACTGCACTGTGGATTCTCTGCAGAACCTAGCCAGGTTCATTGCAAACAGACTTTTTTTTTTTTTTTTTTCAGCATAAGTAATAAAAACTTATTGAGAATTCCTGGGATGGTGGTTATTGCCTCCCAACCTGGAAGGAGGAGCCAATACTATAGGGAATCAGTCAGAAATCACACTGTCCCAACAAAATCTTTCCCCTGGGAAATTGGTCAAGCCTTTTTCATCCAAAAAGGGTTGGGATGACAGATGGAGAAAGGACCATCGCTTGATACCGGGGTATCATAGGGGTGTGCTGTACCCCAAGCTGGCGGGAGGGGGAGAAACAGATCTGCTTCTTCTCTGGGAGTGAAGTTCCTGGCACCAGGCTCATTTCTTATCCTTGATGAGGCTGTCACTGCCCCGGGTAAAACTTTCATCCTGTAGGTTCAGGACAAGGTTGTCGGTAGTGAGATGGATAAGGTTCTGTGATGTGGCAATCCTCTTGGAGATGTTCTGGGCTGCCCAGATCTTGTGCGATTTGATATAGCCAGGTTTCTTGCTCAGGGCTCCTCCAAGGTGAGCAGGTTGGGGTTAAGGGTTCACACAAGGCCCATTTTCAACCTCAGCACTATCCTTACTACTCCAGCCCTTCTCTGGGCTGTCAGACCCAAAGCTGCACTCAGATAGCTCCTGCCTGGTCCCCCTTTGGTCCCTACCTGTGGGCCCCCCTGCAGCCAGCTGCCAGGAACCAGAAGCAAGGCCAGCATTGCTATTGATTTGCCTTATAGTGAGGGGCAGGCCTCAGGCCTTTTTAATGGGGGACTTTCTGGAAGGGGGCTTTGCCTTTTTATTGGGTCTAGAAGAGAAAGTCTGAAGAGATGAGGGTCAGTGGGTAGTTGGGTGCCCGTTGTATCACAGGGAGCTTCTCTCTACCAATGCTATCACTGCAGTTGTGATCACAATGGTCTCACTGTTATAGGTCTCTGTACTTTTACTCCCAAGAGTCACAAATTTGTGGAGCTGTAGACCTGCAGAACTAATGGGCTGAGAAGCACCTGCCTGGAGAGGAAAAGTAGATCCACTATGCACACATACACAAAATCACACACAATATTTAAAAGAGAAGAAAACAAGGTGTGTGAATTCGCTGAATATCGAGTAAGCTCTTACTATGTGCACGTTATTTGGCTAAATGCAGAGATACTAAACCAAATCAACTAGATCTTACTAATGAGCCGTCAGGGAGAACGGCCTCCCTGGACAGTTGCCTAGACCCATAGCAGACTTTGCATAAGTGATAAATAAATCTCTGATTATTAACTTCCTGAGAATTGGGGGTCTTCTTTATTTAACTGCAGCTTGACCTTATCTATCCTGATTGACAACGAACTAATACATGGCACTTGCCTGCGACAGGTGTACAATCCAGGAAGGTAACTTCAAGTATTCCAATGGCTTCAGTAAGCACCCATTTTTTAACTAAAATAATTATTTCTAATTTATATAGGTATTTACTTCCAAGGATGATGAAAATTTTATCAATATCAAAACATGTATAAAACAAGACAACTACATACTCTGAAGGCAGAGGTATCTGTGTTATGCATTATGAATCCCAGTACCTAGCCACATGCATGGTCCCTAACAGGCACCAATGAACACTTATCAAGTGAGTAAGTGAATGAATGAGCCATCTGGTTGGGGAAGTAAAGTATGCAACATAAAGGGTGGGCCATGAGGCATAATAAATGCTATGGAATTCAGCATAAGGAGAGAGCATATCCAGGCATGGGGATCAAGGAAGACTTGCAACATGAGCTGACGTCAGAGGATGGAGATTCAGGGAGCAAAAATATGGAGACCGGAAATGGCTGGTGCAGACACATTATATAAGCTAGACTAGACAAGGAATTTATGTGAGCAAATAGAAGAAAATGAATTGGGAAGAATCAATCATGGCCAGATTTTGCATGATTAAATGCAGAACTTCAATCCCTTAGCCAGTGGTGGCTCTCTGTCTCTCTCTCTTAAAAATTCAAAAACCATTCTCTGAATGCATTTTATTTGTGGGCTAAAATCAGGAAGAACAAAAAAGCTAAGTTCCTTTGGTAAAGAAAGATGTGGAGGACAGGGTTCACAATCATTGGCGTGGATGCCTTTAAGAACCCCCTAAAGAATAGCTAATGTCCCATAAACATCTGTTGAAAATCAGTGCTAAAGTAACAGGCCACATTTAGTATTAGTTCAATCATTTAACCAGCCCGTCAATCATTCACTAATGAGAGCTCTCTACCACTCCGCATTCTGGAGAGTTCGGGATAAAGAGCAGACTGTGTCTACTGGTGGTGGGCCCAGCATGAGAGGCAATGATATGCTCCTGAGGTCCTGAGAGGCAGCCTCCTAAGGGTTTTGAGGTTTGTTCCAAAGGCAATTCATCCCTGATAGAGGAGAGAGTTCTGTAAAAACTGTGGACCTGGCTTACCAGGTCTTTCTCTGAACTCTTCTCTCCTCCATGACCGTGTGCCAGAGCCCTGAGCAGAGGACGCAAAATGAAATACTCCATCATTAAAAAATCTCGGAGATGCTGGGGGAGGGGCCATATGGCAAACCAGTGCAAAAGGGTATCCTTTCCCCTCGAAGTGGAACATATTCTAAAAATGGAATATGAGAGTATGTCACCCATCCGAGGAGGGAAAGGTGAGGGTTGTTGCGGACAGAGGCAGGAGAACTCATCACCTCACTTGCGTCCTGTCTTAGAAGAGACAGACAGACTGACAAATTCAAAGTAGCCCAAGGATGTTGGGGTTAATGTAGAGCATGAAATTAGCCATGATACCTGGCTTGCTAAAATGTAACACAGAGGCTGCTGGGGGCAAAGGAGGGTTTTGGAGAAGGGCATAGACCTTTGGAATGCCGGGGTCCTCATGACCACTCTGCCTTTGGAATGCCATGGGGAGTTGCCTTCCCTGAAGCTTTCTTTTTTTTTTTTTTTTAAAGATTTTATTCATTTATTTGAGAGAGAGAGAGAATGAGAGACAGAGAGCATGAGAGGGGGAGGGTCAGAGGGAGAAGCAGACTCCCCGCTGAGCAGGGAGCCCGACGCGGGACTCGATCTTGGGACTCCAGGATCATGACCTGAGCCGAAGGCAGTCGCTTAACCGACTGAGCCACCCAGGCGCCCTTCCCTGAAGCTTTCTTAGCCCAAACAGCCACACTGTGATCTAAGAGAAGAATGCGTTGTCCCCTAGGCTATGTTTAGTAGGTGATGCAAATTAGCATTAAGAGAAGAATGCGTTGTCCCCTAGGCTATGTTTAGTAGGTGATGCAAATTAGCATATCTTATCTTTCCCATAAATCCTCCCAGTTTCAGTAAGACCCCTTGTCACACATCACGTCTTGAGAGACAGTGATAAAGGATTTGTGATTATCCTGAAGGACCAATAAAAGCAGGAGCAGAGAAGAGCAAAGGGTCTTCATCTCTGAGTGTTGGCCCCATGCCTTCTCCTCTCTTTTATGGCAAAGTTTGGAGTTATCTTTTCATCCATCTATACAGGGATTGCTGGCCATTCCCAGCACAAGGATTTTCCATTTTCACCCCCGACCTTCTCACTCTCAATGCCCTGGACTCTTTCTAGCCAGGGAGCTTCACATTACTCAGAAGGGCTTCTACTGGACAGTTTTCTAAAATAAAAGACTCTTCTCCTGGTGGTTAGTCCCCTCATCTCCTGTCTCTGTTCACTGCGTTTCCCCTACATCACAACAAATCAACAGATCGGGGCTCACCAGCACTCTCAGCTTTGACTCCTGTCCTTGTGTCCTAGTCTTTCTGTCAACCCTAGGCCAGAACCACTTGTAGGATGTGCCTCTCCACAGGCACATCCTACAAGTGCTGTGCAGCCAGACACCTTGGGAATCACACAATCACAGCACACATGGCTACAAACATCTAAGGTCCCAGCTTTCGTGCCGCCCAACAGCCTTTCTGATTTTCTTCAGTAACTATCAAAAAAAAAAAAGTGGTCAACATCCCTCAGTCCTAAGCACCTCATTCTCAGCAGACAACCCTACAGAAACCCAGGTCATCAGGCATTTTTATCAGCCAGATCTTGGTGTTGCAACTGCCTTGACAAAAACAAAACCCCTCCACTATGAGTCTGAACACAGCTAAAATAGGAGCCCTGTTCAAGCCCAAAAATGACCAAAGAGCCCCCTCTCCTGGATAGTATGAGTGGTGCCTTTTTTCTTACCAATTACGTAAAATTTACCAATTGCATAAAATTGATGAATAAACCCAATCACAGCATTACCCCCACTTCCTTACAGCATCCAATCTAGAACAAAGAGCAAAGTCCCTAAACAGTCCGCCAAAGAACCTAACACAATCCCAAACCCTGTAATAAATCCTTTCTAACATTCCCTTTCTGAGAGGCTCCACGATTCCCCAGGGGAGTGCATTCTCCCTCCAAGGAGCAATCAACCTGATCTGTTCTTTGACAGGAGGGCGCTAACATAGTAATAGGAATTACTGTTATCACTGTTGTTGCGTTCTGTGCTAAGTACTTTACATGTGTTATTCATTTAATCCTTTGATGACAGTGACAATTTTGCCCACTGCGGACCTGGAAACACTAAGACTGAACAGAATTTAAAAGCCATCTGGGTCACAGATCCAGCATGATGAGTGAAGGGACTTAGGAATCAAGCTCTGGAGCTCATGCTCTTCATGATTTTAGAAATAATAAACCACAAAATTAGCAAAACTAGTTTCTTCCCCACATCGTACCCTCGAGTCTCAGAACATGAGCTGTTTTTCTTTCAATGTCAACCCCTCCTTCTGTCTGTTCTTTGACCACCTTTTCTGTCTCCTTTAACACTTGGTTCCAACAAGTTTCAATTTCCGTCTAATTCTTCAACCATCCTTTTGCCACTAGGACAATTTCTCAGTCTAAAATCGGGCATAAGCCTTGCTCATTCTAAAAACAAAACACGATGACCTCTGATGGCCCCATAGTCCTTTCATCTTTCCCGTCTTCAGCCCAAATTCTGGAAACCTAGCCTCTATTTTCAAGAATAACAGAATTTAAAATTATAAAATAGGCATGCACAAATGGAATTTGGGAGAGAGAGCTTTTCTACCTTGGAGGGGTAAGGATGGGTGGGAAGGATCAAAGAAGAGTTCAAGGAAGAAATGGTATCTGGGGTAAAGTGTAAAACATGGTGGGGGGGAAGATTGCCCAGCCAGAGATAAAAGAAAAGGAGTTTTAGGGTAGATGAGTGTCCCCCCCGCTAAAATTCATATGTTGAAAACTAACCCCCAATGTGATGGTATTAGGAGGTGGGGCCTCTGGGTGGTAACTAGGTCTTGAAGGTAGAGCCCTCATTAATGGGATCATATGCCCTTGTAAAAGAGACCCCAGAGAGCTCCCTTGCCTCATCACCATATGAGGACACAGCAAGAAAATGGCCATCTATGAACAAGAAGTAGGCTGTCACCAGACACTGCATCTGCTGGTGGCTTGATCTTAGATTTTCCAGCCTCTGGAGCTGCGAGAAATAAATTTCTGGTGTTTATAGTCCCAACCCCACTCCCCCAGTGTCTATGATATTTTTTCATAGTAGCCGAGTGGACTAAAACAGTAAGTAAAAGTAAAATTACAGAGAGAGGAAAGTCTGGCACATATTTGGAGACCTGATGAGTGGACTCATTATCTGCTGTATTAGCTCAGGCCACCATAACAAAACACCACAAACTGGGTGGCTTAAGACGCAGAAATGTATTTCTCAGAGTTCTGGAGGCTGGAAGTCCTAGATCAAGCTGTTGACAGGCTTAATTTCTCCCTGGGCTTCTCTGCTTAGCTTGGTCACGTGCTTGCTAC